AGCAGTGGTATCAACGCAGAGTACTTCTTGGACGCATTCGATGCAGAATTCTATTCTCTTTCTAATGGTCATAAAATTGCTGCAAATCATTCAATGAGGTTTCAGAATATATCCAAAATCTGCGACCCATGCTTTTTGAGATGGTCAAGTTTCACGATTTTTCCAAACTTTCATATCAATCCTCAGAGGGAGTTCAAGTAACGATTCGATAGAGCAAATCTTATGGAATACAGTACTGCTTTTTTCTCTTTCTTGTAACTCGCCGTAATTTTTTAAAAGATTTTTCAACAGAACCATCGGATTTTGGGCAGGCCCACCTCAGCCACAATCACATCAAACATCATAATATTTCGGAATTTGAGACTACTAAGATGGTAGTTAGCATTAAGTTTACAAAGCAAGTGAGGGCTTACTGGTTCGAAATATCAAATTTCGAGTTTTTCGGGTACAGCCTGGGGCTCGCCAAAAAAATGAGTTATGGTGATTTCTCCCCGGAAACTAAACGAATCGGAAACAAAAAAACCTCTTTAGAAAGAGGAGAAAATGCTGCATCGAATAGTGCGCGAGCTGCTCTTCTTTTGATGTTCTACGAGGATTTAGCTGCCCAGGTATGGAAATCGGTAGCATCATTTGAAATTCTGTTAAAAATGTATGACAAGCTACGGAAAGGATAAAAAATAGTACTGTATTCTATAAGTTTTGGTCTATGGAATCGTTACTTGAACTCCTTCTAAGGATTGATATGAAAGTTGTAAAAAATCGTGAAACTTGACCATCTCAAAAAGCATGGGTCGCAGAAAGCAGTGGTATCAACGCAGAGTACTGACTGATTTGCAACTGTTTCATGACCATTAGAAAGAAAATAGAATTCTGCATCGAATGCCTCCAAGATCTCTTAGAAATCTTTGTTCCGTCACATGTGGTGCCCGTTTGAAAAAAGCGAAATTACTTTTGAAACGACCTAATATACAGAGTGTCCCAAAAGTAAGTACACACTTTTCAATCGTCAATATCTCTCTTCCTAATGGGTCTTTTTGCCAGTCAAGTACCATTCTGTAAAGGAGGCTTCAACTTAAATTTGCAGTTTCGACCGAGTCACCGATCGCTCTTCGTTACTGTAGGATTACGGTAAGATCTGCGAGCATGTGGATTCTTGTGAACTATGCCATTTGACAAAATTTTTTTCAAAAAATCGGAGAAGTCGTGTACAAGGGTTTTCGCACACGCTGATTCCACTACACAACTTTTTACGAGTGTTTTCAGCTTTTCTGACGTTGTAGTCACATTTCTAACAAACACTGGGAATTCGGTTATTACGCATTACATGGGATAACTTTGAAAAGAAGCGTCACAGCAAAGTGGAAATTTCATATTCGAAATCAGCGGCTTCCGTTACCATAGTATAAAAGTTTGTGGCTTGTTTGATTTTGTTCTGAGGCAAAATATGGCTCCCAATGCTCTAAAATCCTTGTCGAAATTCCTACAGTAATCTTACAGTAATAAAGAGCGATCGGTGATTCGCTCGGTGCTGGTAATCTAAGTTGAAGCCTTCTCTGCAGATTAGTACTTAAACGGTAGAAAAAGACACAATGGGAAGAGAGATATTAACGGTTGAAAAGTGTGTACTTACTTTTGGGACACCCTGTATATTAGGTCGTTCCGAAAGTAATGTCGCTTTTTTCAATCGAAGGCCATATTTCACGAAATCATGATTTCCAAGAGCTCTTGGGATCATTCAATGCAGCATTTCGCCCTCTTTCTAATGTCTCTGATTTTATTGCATAGTATTCAATGAGCTCTCAATAAATTACCAAAACCTGCGACCCATGCTTTTTGTCATGGTCAAGTTCGACTAATTTTCCAAATTTTTGTACTGATTTCCTGAAAATGTACAAGTAACAGATAAATAGTGCAGACCCTATAGGACACAAAACAATTGGTTGCTTTTCCTTAGCTTGCTTCTTTGAGTTTCTGGAGTTAATTTTTCAAGGCCATCAAAGTCCATATTTGGTCAACTCAAACCTCACAGAACAACAACCGTCAAGCAACTCGGGTGCCATTCGACGCAGCCTTTTCTCCTCTTTCTACCAGTTGTTCTTTGTTTCCAATTCGTCAGGTTTTCCGGGATAAAATCATCATAATGCAGGTTTTCCAGGGCGCCCGAGCTGTACCCGGAATTTTCTAAAGTTGCTAATCTGAAGCGGCAAACACTCATTTGCTTTGTAAAATTAGTGTCAAACCATAATCCATCTTTGTAAGTTTGAAAATCCGAAGATTTATTGCTGTTTGATGCGTTTGTGTCTGAGACGAGCCTGCTGAAACTCGGTGGTTTCATCAAAAAATCAATACAAAAATTATGACAAGCTGTGGAAAGTAGAAAAAAGTTGTGCTGTTTCCTGTAGGGTTTGCTCTATCCATCCATTACTTGGACTCCTTCCGAGGGTTGTTATAAAAACTTAGAAAAATTGTGAAACTTGACCTTCTTAAAAAGCATGGGTCGCAGATTTTGGTAATTTTTCAAAAGCTCATTGAATATGATGCCATGATACTATAATCATTAGAAGGAGAATAAAATGCTGCATCGAATACTTCCAAGATCTCTAAAAAAACCTTTGTTCCATCAAATGTGGCGCCCGTTTGAAAAAAGCGACATTACTTTCGGAACGACCTAATATATATACATAGCTTGGCTGAAGAGCATCGCGATGCCGCGCTGTTTAGGAGGCATGATTACGGTTTCCTACAGTCCGCGTGATAGCGGCTGCTCATCGTTGCGCTTCTTTGTTTTTCGTTTCATATTAATTGTGCTGTAGTCGTCCTCATCCCACTAGAGTAGCGGCCGAAATCGAATTCGACTTGGAGCAGACTAATAGCGGGAGCACGGATCAGGCCTCAGTTCAAATTTAATGTTTCTTTAGCTTTTTTCTCCGTTCATTGCTAATTCATGCATCATGACAATGCTTTTGCTTTCAATATTAGTGTTTGTTATTGCTGAGCGTTAATTCGCGTCTCGAGACAGCACGATTTTTGTTTGTCTTTGCTTAGCCTTCTAAAACGATGCAGGTGGCAAATTTGTGACATTAAAATAGAGCATCACTTCTGCGTGCTACTTACGAACAAATTTACAGCGAAAGTTTCTCAATTGTTTTCCATCATCTTTTTCTTAACCTTACCTTTATAAATGGAATAGGGGGAGTATGAAACAACGCTCACAGCAACAGAATAGTCAATTTGGCAACAAACATTCAACGCAAAGATTAACGAACTACAACGATTGAGAAACATACGCAAAACAGAGTGAGGATCCAGGTGTCTGCCGGAGCCAGCCTGCTCCATTTCAAATTCGAATTTGCCCACCGGGTGTCTAGAAGCAGGCTAAACTTCGTTTTTGGTGCAGAAAGAAAAGGGGATATCGTTTTTACGGAGCCGGGCCGAGCACCAAGGATAAGCGCCATTTAGTCAAACACAAGCTTCTCGGACAGGTTATCACACGATTGACATGCTCTATCGTGTACGGCGAAAAGTGCGCGCGATCTGAAAGCAAGGCTAAAATAAACAAATTGCTTGTTTGCAGAATCATATGACACCAAAATTGAAGTGTATACAGTGTTTATGCCCTTCTGAACCGTTCCGTCCTAGCGCTTATTACCCTGCCCCAGAGCGGCGGTAATCACCTTGCCTTTCTTATAATCTACTAGCTGGCAAACCCGGCTCCGCCCGGCCCTGTCATTATTATATTCGTAATCAGCATGCTCGATTACCCCCTGTGCCAACTCCCAGCCCCGTAGCTCAAATTTTGCAAAAAATCGATAAAATCGATATCGATCGATGACGAAAAGTAGCCTATGACACGCTCCCTGCCCCGAAGTATATGTGTGCCAAGTTTGGTCCAAATCGGTTCAGAAATAAAAATTTCTATTCCGCACATACGTACAGACATACAGACAGATATACAGACAGACATACAGACAGGCATTCAGCTTTATATATAAGATTTACATTTATTAATTTAGAGGGCGCTTATGGCGTATGAAATAAATATAAGCATCCATGTTCGACTATCCATAAATCTTGGCATTGTTGTAATCTTCTCGTTGGTTGCTTGAGCGTTGTAAATGAATAAATAAATCTAACAGAGTTTTTGAATATTTCGGAGTAGTTTAAAGCAAGCGAGTACACATTTTCGATCGATAAGGTCGATATTTTATAAGAAGACAAAAATCGGGAAAGATTGAATTTTTTTACTCTCTATTTCGTAATTTCCTCTTCACAGTTCTCCAAACCACCGCAAAATTTGCATATGTAAACTGAAAATCTATGTAAGCCACCCACGTGCTAAATCTGATCCCCATGTTAGAACCCAAGTACTTCTTTGACTCTTCTCTTTAAGTACTTTTACCTAACTCGTCTAATTTCAGAGCGCCTGCGTCTCCAGCGACAGCCTAGTTCTCTCATGGCAGCGCCGACCAATCAGAGCGCAGTAATTAGGCAGCTAAGGCTAGCGGTACAGGGCCGTCTCCCGTGTATACATAGAAAATTACTTGCGGAAGAATTGCGTAAAAATATTTGAAAACTTCTGTGATGTAACACCTTTTCCAAGATTAGTCCGTCTCGAGACGGCCAGCAGACGACCTGAGATCGTCTGGAGCATATATTTTTGTAAATTCACAAAAGTTTCGTGTTCTTTTATCACGGACGGATCCCTCGGTCAAGAATCTATTCCCTGGGCATAGGGACAGTTTAGTCCGCCGTATCGCCCCCTGTCCGCCGTTTTCACCCTCTTTGTCGGAAAATTGCCTTGTTAGATATCGCGCCCCAGCGTCAACTTTTCTGCGTCCTCTCTCTTTGAATTTTCGTTTTCAGTCCCAGCTTTTTTTCCGTTTTTTTGATGGTTCCTTTCATTCTTCCTTCTTCTTCTTTCTTCTGCTCGTGATCTATCTTGATCTGTTCTGTGACAATTCCGTGATTTTGTGATTTTTCTTTGAGAGCTGGGATCCCGGGTTCCGCCCCGTTCTGGCCAATCCGTCCGTGCTTGATCTCTCAAGCAGCATTTACCCTTCTTTTAATTCCGACTCGTCTTGGGTTCGCTTCCTACAGTTCTCACCATATCTTGATGACCAGCAGATCAAAATAGCTTCACCGCTCATCCTTCACGAATATGGGAAATATGCACAGACACACAGACGCACAGATTTTCTGCTTTATAAATACATAAATATATATATATAGATTCTGTAATTTTGTGATTTTTCTTTGAGAGTTTGGTCTGAAATCACGAAATTTTCAGCTCGCAGCAGTAAATACTTTTGTCAAGGGCTAAGTGAGTATGCGAGGATCCATCAACAGTCGAAGGGTGGGTGGGGGGGGGGGGAAGGGACTAAAGCAAGGATCAAAGGGGACTTCGTAAAATAAAGTCAGGGAGGACTCTGTTTTCAAAAGCCTAGAAACGGACTGGTGCAAGGCTGTCATGGCGCAGGCGCGGGGTGTTTGGGGACGGATTTCTCAGCCGTGGATGATTCATATGCGCTGCCGTTTGGGCAGTACCTTAGTTAGGACCCCCTCATCAGTTTCCAGGGGAAAAACTCATGCCCCAGATCTGCCTGGACACTGCCTTTAACCCACCAACAACGTGGACTTGCAAAGATCTGCTTTCTACTTCATCTTTATAAAGCGTGATTATAAGGTGTCCCATAGCGCATTCAAAGGAAATACAGTATTAACGTTTGAATGAAATGTAAATGCTAAGGACAAAAAATACTCTTTCACGTGAAAATCTATAGCTTTTTATGCACCATCTTTACACAAAAAAGCTACCGAACAATGATGGAATGACCAACATTCTGAGATTTTTTCGTGTATTTACAGAATTCAAATAGACATTTACACATGTAAAAGTCTACATACCACAAAATTACTACGCTTTGGCACCTTGCTTGATCCACTTCTCTTTTTGATTTAATGCTTGTATTTCTTTGCCGGATTTTTCGTGTACGATCAGTTTGTACGTTGAAGGAAACAGCCAAGCGGCATCATTTGTGAGCCTTAAAAGGAGGACGATTTCACATAAGTTGTGGGGGGGGGGGGAAGGCTGGGTAACAGTAGCCGCTGACCTGAGATGATAGTAACCGGTACGGGTTATGTCCTGATTGTAACGGTCAACAGCGGGAAGTGCACATTTTTGCGTTGGCGGCAGCAAAGCTTCATATTCTTCTTCTGGTGTTGTCTGAAATAAATAGATAATTGAAAAACAAGCGTTTTTCTATTTTTATTTCTCAAAAGGCCTAAAGAGATTACTCAGCTAACAAAGCCCTGGCAAAGAACTGAGAGGAAATTGTATCAGTCGTTTGCTTGCGTATCATAATTAAACTTTGATTCAACTGGCTTGGCGGCTGGAAGGCGTGTCTTTGTAGACTGATTAAGGCCGCTCGCAACCGCTACGCATCTTGCGTCTCTTCCGGTCTCTCTGATCATTATCTAATTAAAGGTCACGAAAAGTCCCTGAAGGTCCTAATTAGGTCACAAAGTCCTGCCTTCCAACCGCCAAGCCAATTGAATCAAAGGGTAAAATTAAGTAATTTTTGTGAACCCCAAACGCAGCATAGCATTTTTTGAAAGCGAAACGGTTTGTTCCGCTAGGAAAGCTTTTGGTGACGAGTTACTAGCAAGTTGTCGTCGGTTGCCGCGCGCAGTGTGCAGGCACACATATTGAATTACAGTTGATTCGCGTATACTGTAACGCAAACCTCTTTCTCCGCGTAATAGATAGCAAATGTGAAATCTGAATCGTTGTGAGAGTACAATTGTAGTTCTTCACCGGCTTCCACATAGTAAGTCAATGTTCGCGTCTTTCCTGCAATCAAGGAAATGCCTCGTGTGACACATGGAAGGCGTTTCTTTTACAATAGGGGTGGGTAAAATTTCCAGGTAAACCACAAAACACACAGATGTTTTACCTGCTGGGGTCGATATACGATGCATAGCTGCTACGCTCGGATAATCAGGTCTTGGACGCCAGTAGAGATCTTTTGGCACAGGTTGAGGATCCCTGGAAGAAGTTTTACAATTTATTTTAAAGGGAAGAGGAGCAGAATCTACATTTGTAAAAATTTATGCGAGTGACTAATTTCGTTCTGAATGATTTTGACTATTTTGTAAATTTTGTGAATTGAATCATTTGCAAACCTTTCTTCGAAAGTTACGTTCGAAATGTTTCGCTTACCAAAAATGTTGGAAGGTTTCTCGAAAAAAAGTCGATGTATTAGCTAAAGCCACAACTCTTCACAAGAAAAAAACCTGTCGCGTTTCGTTTACCTATCCCTACCCATCCCCCCTCCCCCCCCCCTCCGTTCATAAAAAACTGTGAGATCGCTACCGGTATCTTATACGACTGATGCATGCTGAATAATTGCTTACTTCAGTACTTGCTCATCCGGGATCTTCCCACCATATCGCTCGGGAAGACATTCGACATCAGCTAATTTCAAGAGATCTTCCTTCCAGTTCTTTCCAGTTATGAGCACCCGACTTCTCGATTGTTCTGGTATGAATGGTGAGATTGCGGACCTGAAAATCTTGTGACTCAATTTTTTCATACCGCTCTTCACCCTTTCGTGACACAATAACTATTTTTGCCAAAAAACTTTTTTCACTCAAAAGTGCATATGTTCGCTCTTGCTATATCCTCACAGTTTTGTGATCATTACGAACAGGAAGCAAAAAATCAAGTTTCCAAAGAAGAATACCTACCATAACACATTAATGTAGCTAGGAGTGTTTATGACAACAAACTTGTCGATCACCTCGCGATAGTGTAGACCGACACACTGCCATGAGACTCGGAATGGTCCTGAAAATGTTGTTTTCGATGATCACAATCTTGTCTTCAAATCGGAAGTTTCGGAAAAAGACTAGGAGCAAGTCAAAAATCAGAAAATTGTGGAAAAAGTAATAGGGCTGAAAGAACCAAATTTTTTAACGGTTCTGCTTGTGAATGTGAAGATCATTATATGCCCTTGCGAGAAGACCCCCAATTTTTTCTTTCACTTTTGATTTACAAAAACAAATTCCTACTTGCTGATCCCTATCCTTGGCCTAGATTGTGGTTAAACGATGTTTGCATTTTCAACTTGTATCCTTGACAACAAGCAGAAAATGCTTCATGCATGAATGATGTCAGTCTCAGCTGACTCAAAAAGCAAAAACCAAAATCAAATTCAGTTCTCAGATATTTATTGAAAAAATATTTTATGAAGCGGTCCTTTTCACTTTAACGAAAGATGGCTTGATTACGATTATGGAAATGAAGTTAGGAAATAAACAAACAAATAAATAATTTTCAAGAGTACTTCAAAGGGAAAAAAGTTAACAAAAGAGACAGAAACTACAAACTTGAATAATAAAATATATATTTTTGGTGCCACGCATAAAACTAATTTTGTATTTAAGTTTTTTGAACACAATCTGCAGCAAAGCATATTATAGGCCAGCAGCATTTTCACAATTTTTTATTGAGGATTGCGTCAGTTTTTCAAAACGTAGTGTGTTATTAGCCATCCAAAAATCTCATTCCGAATATAATATTTTGATCCAAAATATACAGTCAAATCATTTCGTATGATCATGTGTGTTACTGCACACACCATCCAACTTTAACGTTCCCGTCCTGAATTCTTGAAGGAGACAATCTCTTAGGTAAGTGTTTTCGATGTGTTCTTAATGGTTTCTTTCCTTTTTGGGTAGTATTCAACACAAAGTGAAGTTAGAGATAATCGGTTAGCTTCTTGCATTTTCGCGGTTGCAGATCCAGGGTGATGACGCCAAAAATAGGCAGTGTGTGCAATGCACACATGATCATATGAAATGACTAGACTATATCTTTCTTTCCTTCCATGGGTTTCTCCAAATTTTCTATTCGATGCACTTCGAACTACCAAGAACCTGTTGCATAGTCATGATTACCCCACTTCGAATAATTACCATGTAATTTCAAATGATTAACAGCATCTGGACAAAAAGTAAACCAGTCCCATAAGATAAACCTCCCAAAAATTGTTGCGAAATATTCTAAACATACCACTAAGAATTCCAAGCAATGATGGATCAAAGCTTAAACCATCGAGATCGAATACATAGAGTATAGAGCATTGTACACCCGTTTTCGCTTCCATCTATAAGGAATCAATCAATAATCGATCGCTCGAAACTACTTTGAATGTCCTCTTACCTCCATCATCATGGCAAGAATTTTCTCGAAAATTCTGAATTTTTGGTGAAGATATTCTGTAGGTTGGATTGACTTCATCACGCCACCGATATCTATCCGTCCTGCAGATAAATCGATATCAATCAATAATGGCGAACCTTGATCGTTCTCTTACCACTTTGATCTACGACAATGAGACGATCGCCATTCTCTTGCCGATTCCAGCCAACAATGGATAACGGCGCGTACTCAGCGGTGATCTATAAAAGCAATATCCCCTTCAGAGAAAATGCCCCCCCCCTCCCTCCCTCCTTCTTCCCGTCAAAGTATAAACTCACCGATGAGCATTGCAGACCACGAGCGTCCTCATCCAGATGACGTTCCTTACGCCATTTCAGATGCTTTCGGAGGTTGTGAACGGTTTTGGAGACGTTGAATTGGTAGGATTGTAACCATCGTAGAATATTGAAGGGGGTATCATAGTGAGGGTGGATGATGTCGGCGACTTGTGACCGGACCTATAAAGATGTATCTATTTCAATTAAAAAAGTTGAATTCAAATTTGAGAGGTAGCAAGGAGCACCACTAAGGAAAAGATATATTGGATGATTGTGATCTGAACACCAAGAAATCCCTACATAATCGTGTAAATATGCCTAAAAAGTATTAGTATTATAAAAAAGCAGGCTTGATTAAGCGTGTAAGAATTTAGTCCAAAACGTGAATTTGTGAGTTTTTGAGCTATGAATAATCCAACATTAAAGATGAAGTGAATTTCCATTGTCCTTGTCAGTTGCCCAAGAATTACTGTAGGTGTACTGTTTTCATCAATAGCATACAATAAAGATCAAAAATAAGAATATTGAAAAAAAACAAATTCAACCTCTGATGCATAAAAAATGTTTGCCATAACTACACTTGCGAATTTTCTGGAAAGAAAACAGGGTTATCATGCATTCCTCACGACTCAATTCATAGTTAGAGATTTTTTCGAAGATCTATGTGTCTTTTATTTCGACTTTTCACCTATTGTTATCGTATTTTGGTAAACGAACGTTGACTATAGCGACGGGAAAGCATTTGCTACTTTTTCAGAGCATTCATCATTTAAAACTTGCAAAATTACAAATTTCACAGGAAATCGTACGCTTACTCGTGCCTATTTTCCCGTATTTTTGCAAGTTTTTATAAATCTAAGATTCACAATTGAAAACAACAAAGGCTCCACACCTAGTCTTTAACAGACCATCAGCAAAATTATTGCTAACAATTTCTCCTAATTACCCCTGTATATCAATTTTCATTTATTGCTGTAATGTCTCCAATGAAGTTCCATAATCGAACTGGAATGTTCGCAACCTTAATCTGCTAATTGCAGTAACAACCGCAAAGGTGGAAAGGATTCCGTTAAGTGCGCAGGAGTAGGAAGTGATAGACAAAGGGCTTCGCGACACATTTTCATGTGAATTTCATAGATTTTCATTGGGCTAAATGGGTGTAAGTACAGGACACTGCAATTTCATCGAAAGTCAAAGTATACTCATGATTCAATCACACCTTTGCAAAACGTTTTTTTTACAAAAAAAATTGCAGAGCTTCCCACTGTTCGAGAATATCGGCATGTTAATCTAAATTAGGCAATTTTGCAGATTCACGAAAGATATAAAGACTTCCGCATTTTGAGAAATCGGCGGTCCACGTTGTCCAACATAAAAAAGGCAGAGAATAAATTGCTATTTTTGGGATTTCAAGCCTTCTTTAGTCTTCTTATTGTTAGTCCACTAGTTCATGAAAAGACTGATTTCCAGACTGTCCATCAATTACTTGTCATTCGATTATTGCGAAATGCCAGATAAATAGAAGGAAAAAGATACTTTTTCTGACTGAAGGTAAAATATTACAAAAATCGATGTCACTCTAAATCAAGTAGTTGCAAATTAAAGACTAAAGTAGGCTTGAAATCCCAAAAAGCAAAATTGTATGGAAAAATTTTGAACTTATTATCGCAACCAATCAAGCAGGAAGTAGAAATTTTTTTGCAGTAAATAAGAAATAGCTAGTATGGCTCGAGTTGTTAGAGCATTTGAATAACTAAGTCTAAAAATCATTAGATAATCTTACTGGGAAAATCTAAAGCGTTGAATATATACAAAATTCGGCTACCAGAGAAATTTCATTTTGAAAAATACTCAACTCTTGAATATTTTGGTACTCAATTACCAAGAAATTGCATCTGTTCCACTTCAGCAAACAATTTTTTGCGTATTTAAATGAAACATTTTAACAGAATCTTTTTAGAAATTTGATATTGTTAGAGAATTTTGTATCAAAAAATTCGTGTTTCGCTCACTGATTTTTGAAACTCGAGGATGTTCGTCATTCGTTTAATCAGAAACTGGATATTTTGATGTGCATTAGCTCCCCTTCAAAATATGAAAATTTGAAAGCTCACCTGCTCGATAATATTAGCATTGGCGTCGATCTTGGGATCGGCAACGGGTGGCATCTGAATAAATTATGGGTTAAGGACAAAAATCAAGAATCAGACAAAACTATCTATTATCGAAGATACGCATAGCTCGAGCAAATATAACAAGAGGAGGGCAAGGATAAGACGAAAAGAAAAACAATTTGTCCCACAAAAAAATTTCTTCTGGAAACTTAAATTTTCTGGTAATTTTGAGGGACCGTGGGTCCGCAAAGAATAGAATGAATTTTGAGATCCAGATCGATTAAAGGAAGTAAATTATTTGTATGGGGTATATCACATTACTCTGGTATGGGTAAAAGCCCTATGCATTGCAACTTCACCCAGCAATGGGCGGAGCCACTAACTCCACCCTTTATCAATTGCTTTGGCGCGGTGAAATTGTGCGTGGAGAGAAGTGACGTAAAAATTGATCTTCGAAAGGTTTGACCCTATTTCATGAAGATACCGCGATTCATAGTCACAGAAATCAGCTGATCAACTCGTGAACAGCTGTTGAAAACCATTAACTCAGAAAAACAACTTTAATTTATTACTTTTTTACAAGTTGTTGCTTGATGGTGGCTCAGATATAAAAATAAAATTACTTAGAAAATCAAGCATTAGTGTTGGTAAGATTCTAGATACAAAATCACGTACAGTACAAATGAAAGAGGTGTACGAAAGTCAAACAGAGAAATTCCTCTTATAAAATCATATAAGTTCAGACGATCGTATGAGCAACGGTAACCCAATGTTAACCCCTTCCTTTTTTGGTGTTATGGTACCGCAAAATGGTTCTTCCGGATGTAGTCAATTATTTATTTATATTATCTTATTTATTATTTATTTTAAAAATGTTTAGTTTGCTTTGTATTGTTTTATTTATTGCTTTCGCCTAGTTAATTTCAAAATTTTTAAGGATTTAGGTTGTGGGAATTATCCAAAAAACATTGAACGTTCTAACTTCCATCCTTTTCTGAATCATCTATTTGACTAATCATATAACAGGAAATTGGATTAGATTTTCTGGTTTCTAGAAAATTAAGTCTTCTAATTGAAGCGTTGTAAAATGAAAGATTCTAATTATTCATGTGGAAAGGAAAATTAACAGTAAAACATTGCCTGTAGTAAAAAGTACCAAAAAATGAGACCTGGAAAATTACATCAACTCCTTTATTCCTCTGTCCCCAACTCTCCCACCCCCTCCTCGGCCTCATTTCATTCACTTATTCATCACTTTGTGAGAAGGAATGCAGGTTCAATGAAAACGAACTACATATTACTAGTAAAAATTGAAAAAAAATTAAATAGGTCGAGAAGTTGCATGTCTTTTAATGTGGAATGCTCAATGAATGAATTAAAATTATTTTTAGAATGGAAAAAAAAGAAAAAATTCTGAGTAGAATTTAGCAGCATAAGTTTGGCGAAGACAAATAAACAGTGAATATCGAAACTGACTATAGAAGTCCTTGAACGGTTGTGCCAAATCTCTATTGCTAGTTGTTAAACCGCTGTGTGATGCCGCTTACGCACGTGATGGGTGACGTGAATGCTCAAGCCACCTTGAACACAGCTGTAAGCAAGCACGGGGGGGGGGGGGGGAAGGGGAGAAAGAAGGTAACAAACCCGTTCATGTGCAGTTGTCACACTGCCAAACATGCTTTACGTGCTGTGTATATAGCATTTATAGCAAATTTTACAATGTGAAAGATTTTATGATGGAGAAAGAAAGATCAGAGAACTGGAAGAAGAACAAACAGGATCGTTAATGATCTAATAAGGAGGAGGAAATGATGAGCAAAAAATAAGGTAGTCAAAAAAGCATTACAAAATTTATGGTGTTAATAAACAAAATTTGCTTTTCGAAAAACTACAAATGAAGTTTCCAGATCTATGATTTTCAGATGAGTTGAAGGAGATCCAAAAAAGGCATATGAGTTATCAAATTCGCTTGCTCTCTTACCGAAAATTAACTTGTACAATTTGCAGCTCATGCTGGAGAAAAAAATTTCTGAAATGGTAAGAGGAAGAAGAAGAATGTTAGGGTAGGAATCCCTTGGTCTTCAGAAGAATTATGGATATTGAAATTACTTTCGGGCTATTTGGCGGGAAGTACCACCCCGGATCATTCTGATCCCCCTGACTATAAGAGATAATCTTGCGCATTCCGATAATCTCGTTCTTATTGTTAGAGAAAGCATCGCAATGCATGTAAAAGCGGAACAGTAAACCTAATACCAACCTACCAAGTTATAAATATGATATAACTAGGCAAGGAAAAATCAACAAATTCAAGTGTTCTTCTTAATTTCATATCATCTCAAATGCCAACATATTTTCTTGCACGCAGCTAAGAAACGTATCATTTCCTTCCCCTGAAGCATATGGAACTGAGAAAGTGTTAAGAATGAATGTATGTTTTGCTGCAAAACTTATATACGAATAATTCTATGAAAAGCATACGAAATGCCGAACCTGGTAAAAAAGCTGCTGGTAGAGATGTCGTAGCCAATTTTTTGCCAAATACAATACCTTTAAATAGGCGAGTTTGGCACACTGTGTTTTATCAAAATCTTATCAATGTTTTTTTTTGGAATTGTCTGCCAATATCTGGCACAATTTAGGCAGAAGAAGTATTTTTGCCATTTTCCCGGAACAGTGTCCAAATTTTTTCAAATCACAGTCATTGGCGCAACAACTCTTTTGAAAGAAACTTTTCATATTTTCATATTCATTTTCGCTTTTTGTCTTAGTCGAAGGCACCGTCCACCCTAAGTTAGGGTTCTCGAGCTTTCGGAAGCTTACGATAGTAGGACCCCCTATTAGGCCAATGCTAATTCGCGGCGAAGAATGTCGATTCGGAAGCGAGAAACGTTGGAATAACGAAGGAGCATGAGGACTCCAAGTCGGCACCGCCCCCTGGCTCCGCACAGCTGGGAGACAGTCAAAAGGCGCGATTTCTCCGGCTGTCACCAACTCAAAACTCAGTTCAGTGCTATGCGAGTCTCCAAAAAGTACCAGATAAAGTGCATAAGCTTACTATGTGTCTGACGTTACCACTTGCTGAATTTCATAGTTTTTGCTATAAAACGACTGAAATAACTACGAATTCGTTCTTGAATGCATTTTCATGAGTTTTTGACCTTCAAAATTGCTGGTTTGAAATTTTTCTAAAGTATTAAGATTGAACATCCATACAAGAGTCTAGTATATCTTTTTCTAGACATATACTTTTAAAGTTGTAAAACACTCACTTATTATCTGCTATTTGATGTCCAGCTGTCAATAAAAATCGGGCCTCTTGACATACACCCGGCACAGCTGGTGAGTCAAGCTGGATATCGTTTTTAGGGCGGAAAGCAAAGGGGGTGTCGTTTTTCGAGGTCCGCGGCGGAGAAGAGCCGCAAGAATGCCGCCGGCATGTCACCGGCATGCTGCCCATCAAACAAACAAAGGCGTTGTTGTCAGCCAAAACGCAATAGTATGACACCAAATTTGGTGTATGCATGCGCGCTGGGGGACCCGAACTACTCAGACACTCGCTGCGGCGGCGCGCGCGCCTTATGCGTGCGGCCCCTCACGTCCCCCGCCGCTGGCAGTCAAATGGCGCGCGTGCCGCGAGTAGATGGCACGCGCGCCGCGAGTAAGTGGTACGCGCGCCATGAGTAGATGGAACGCGCGCCACACGATAATAATGGCACGCCGCTAGCACGGTATAAGCACTGCGAATCACGGTGAATCTGTAGTAGACCTGTTGACAACCTTCAATTTCAGGCAAACAATGGCTTTAATTTCAAATATGAACTTGGAAGTTCCCAAACCTTGAATTTGAAAATTCAAATTTCAAAAATTCGAGAATTCAAATTTTCAAATTTGAATTTAAACTCGGCACCTACTCGCAGTGCTTATGAAGACTAACTCTCAGTGGAAGAACTGGAAGAATCCCACTTGTGTTAATGAGACAACTCCATTGCGAAACAGCGATAACCTCAATGAATTAGCGATAAAGCACCCAAAACACTGCGTCGTACTTCACGCGGGTATCGTTTGTGCTTACAGCGTGTGGAAATGCGGAAAATATCATGGCATGCGGCTCACTTAAATTGCGCGCCGCTCGCACTCTCAACTAGGGCGCACCGTTCGCGATACAGTGCTGTGATGGCGCGCCCGCCGCCGCGCCGAGTGTAGAGTAGGCGCGCCGCTCGCTGGCTGCGAATGATGGCGCGCCGCTCGCACTGAAGCCTCAACTATGGCGCGCCACTCGCACTACTGCTTCAACCAAAGCGCGCCGCTCGCACAGCAGCCTCAAATAGCCTCAAATAGGGCGCGCCGCTCGCACTGTAGCGCTATTATGGCGCGCCCGCCGCCGCAGCGAGTGTCTGAGTATGGCCCAAAAATCTATGAAAGCTTACATGAATGGAAGCTGTGCTGAACTTTTTTCTGAACTAGCTGGGATCCCGCCAGCTGTAAAGGAATAAAGCTGATAATTCTGCAAAAACTACTAATGCAGATACTCGTACTGACACAATTTTTGTACCAGCCCCATTTTAGTGTACAGACGTTTGATAGGTGCACTTTTGACGGATTGCTCTTTGCAAAATTAGTCCGTTGTCATTTCATATCAGAACATTATCGAAATTTGCACTCTTGAGCACCCAAAGATACCCAATGTCCTCCTCCCTGTCCCGTTCTTGCCCTTCTACTTCCGTTACTTTCTAAACGGAATAATTGAAACATTGACCGAATGCAGAGATGAAAATCTGGATGCCAGCGCGTCAGTTACAATTTTTTTTATAACGAACCATTACCATCTGTGGAAGGAGGAACACAAATTAAATTTAGTCAATTGGTTCTAGAACGGTTCTTCAAGATTCTAATTCTATGGTCTTAACTGATTCGATCAAGGGCCATAGAAGTTCTCGAAAGCAAAAACATTTGGTTTGATTATGTTTGGTGGCATTAGTGGCAGTCCTGCAAATGTTTTCCAAGCGGGGAAGGGGCGGGGAGAAAGGAAAGGAACCGAGAAGCTTGCAAAA